AACCTATCAGCCTGGGAAATTAAGTTTGTGAAGCTGAGAATTTGCTTTAGCTGCACTGAGCAACCTGAGGTTTCCTGCTGCTCTGCAGCTAAACTAAGCACGACCACTGGCTGTGCCCCTCATGCTATCATCCTTCCCACAACACGTTCCTTAAGCTCATTAAGCTCACAGTGAAACTGTCTTAATAGCCCTGAATCTGACACAGTATATTTCTCTGGGATCTTGGTTAAAAGAAAATAAGAAAGCTTGCTGGATCAGACCAAGGATGCAAGCTAATGCATTGTTTTTCACAATTGGATGCTTCCAAGAAGTCTTGAAGCAGAGTATACAGCAGGGGTAGCCAGTGTGGTCCCTCTAAATGTTGTTGACTTACATTGCCCATTAGCTCAGACTGTTGACCATGCTAGCTTGGGTTGATGGGAGTTGCAGTCCAAAGCATCTGGAAGGTTGTTTACCCCTGGCAGCTCTCTTCAGGGTTGCTCCCAGGCAACTGGGAGACTGCTTCTGAATAGGCAGGATCCATAAAGTCATTATGACTAGTAGCCATCGTCAGGACTTCCCACCATAAATCGAATTCTCGTTTGAAGCCATTTAAGCTAGGGGCTAGTCTTATTGGGTTTACCAAAGTGGCCATTCATGCCCCCAGTTCTGCCTCTAGCACAGGGTGGGAAAGCTTTTTCCAACTGAGCGCCATATTCTTTTCTGGTCAGCTTTCAGGAGGCCACATGCTAGCAGTGGGTTAGGCCTGAGAAAAAAGGAGCAACGCATGCATGGGTGTAGCCAGGGTTTTTGTTTGGGGAGGGCAGGCCTTTTATTAGGGGGGAAAGGCCTTTTGTTGGGGGGCAGAACCTCAGTTTGCTATGTATTTTTATTGATTGGGGGGGCAGCTACCCCTCTCTGCCCCCCGGCTACGCCCATGAATGCATGTACATTTTATCTTCGTACAATAGGCTAATACGCCCACCCTCTTTGTCCTCTAACCAGATAAGCAAGAGGCATCAGCAGAGTTTGAGGGCAAATTTGAGTCAGGCAAAAACATTCAAGGAAGTTGAAAGCAGGTCTGCTGAAGGTGATGGCCTGGGAAGAGAAGGAGAATATATAGCCTAGGGAGAGTCTTGAGGCCAGATAGGCCAGGAGGAATGCATTTGGTCCCTAGTTCTGAGCTTCCCTACTCCTGGCCTAATACAACTGCAGACCTAACTGTGCATGGTATTAATTGTGTGACCTGCAGCCAACGCAGGGGATTAAAAGAAATAACCCTTGGTGTTCCCCAGACTGCAGCATGCAGGCAGGTGAGTTTCGCCTCTTCACTCTGCAGCCGGGATCATGATAGAAATTGCCCTTGTTGCACAGCTGGTGATGGGGTGGAGGGGAATCTCCTGGTTTCTATGTTCTTTTCCAGTAGGGAATATTCCTATCAGGATCATGGCTGCAGAATGGGAAGGGTAAAACTTCCCCATATGTCCAATGGAAATCTGAGTTTGTTGGTTTGTTTTAAATCCTGATGTGGCTTCAAGTCATACAAGTATGGATGAGTATTGCTGTTCTTGCCCTTGGATGGGATGAATGGGAAAAACACAAGGGGACGTTTGAGATCACTGGCCCTGGAAATTGACGCTGAATCCTGGGAGCTGTTTAAGCAGCCTGTAACTATTCTTTGTAGAGCACAAGAATTTATTGCTCATGACCAGCAGTTATCTGATACAACATAAGGTGCCTTGGAAAAGGGAGTGGGTCCTGGTTCCTGTTGACACTTCCGTCTTGGAGTTCAGCAAGCAAAGGTGTGTTCTGTGGATAAAACATGCGCTTGCTTTAACCTTTGTACTCCCTTTAGCATCTTACGCAGAGAAGGATAAGGCTTATGTTTTTTTCTCTGCTAAACACAGTGAACAAGATAGTGAAAATTGCTCCTGCGCATAGCTACATAATAAAAAGCTGTCCCCCCAAATTTCTTTCCCCCGAAAGGTGCATGAAAAATGTAATGTGCCATCACACGGAGCATTCAACATTACCATGTCTGTCTGTGCATATCTTTTCTAATTGCTGCTCCTGTGTTCCTGCATTAAGTGAGGATCACGGTCCCTATGTAAAGACAACTCCCTACAATTCCTTGTTATGGGGCAGAGGCGAAATGACTCTATTTTCTGCCAAAGACCACATTCCACCAGGTGCAATCTGCTAGGGACTGCATCTGAAGCCTCCCCTTTTCTCTGTGTCATGCCTTCTCGCTTGCTCTCTCCCTTTCTGTCAGCCCTTTCTTTCTTAGAAAGAATATATAACAGGGTAGAATTAAGGGTAGAAGGTATAAACAAGGAAGCTCTTCAGCACTTCCAGATGCCAGCGTGGCATAGGATTGGGTCATTAAAGGAGGGAGAGTTTTTTGTGTGTGTTTTGCAGAATCTTGTGATCTTGGGATATATATATATATAATCACTTGCTTTGTCTTCTTCCCCTTAAACCTGTTCTTAAAAGCCTGTTCTTCAAAAAACATCCGCTTTGTGGGCTGGGAATAGTGTGGACAAGTACTGTAATACTAATCCAACAGGGTTGTGGGTTTTTTTTGCATGTCTGTAGTTCATTTAAACCCTAAACTGGGATGTTGGAATACATTGATTTCCTTTCCAGCCAGCTTCTGTTCTGCTGCAGTTCAACTTATAGCAAAAAGGTGTTATGAGTTCTGCTATCTGCTGTGGCAGAATTTATGTAGTTAATCAGGTTATAATTGCATAGCTCCACACCATTCATTTCACTGTAAAGGCTATACATTTCAGTGCAAAGGAAGGACAATGCAGAAAGGGAGGGAAAGTCATCCATTACATACTGTTTGCAGACTGAAAACAAGAACAGTGAATGCCACTTGTATTCTCTGGATTGATTTCCGTTTTGGACACGGAGTGAATAAGCAAACGCTGGCAATTTCCACTCCCATTTCTTTTTCTGTCAGAATTCTCTGACAACCCTACCCTAAACCAACTCTGCGACTGTCCCTGGTAATGACTTCAGCACACAGCCTGGCAAGTTCGAAAATAGGAAGATAGAATAGGCAGGTCTGCCTTCTGTCTTTTTTGTGGAAATACTTTGATGGCTTCACAACTGAATTCAAATGCTGCATGTCACTAATGCTCAGGCAAGTGAAAACATGTTTTTTTTCCAGAAAAGAAAAGAAAAGAGTGCTTTATGGAGATTGCATCAAAATGTTTCAGTGTGGAGTGTTGCTGCTCAGGATTCCAGACACGCTACTCGATTTCGCCCTCCCCAGTTTTCTATCTCCCCAGTGTTGGATGGATTTTGTAGGTAGACTAGTATATATTCTTTTATAAAGAATGTGTGTGTGCATTCTTGTATAATTTATCTTCCCTATTACTCACGTGTGTGAGCAGAATGTTTAAAGTAAATCAGTTTAGCGTTTAGACTTAATACGCTTAGAAGACTTAAAACACCATCCCTTGCAGCATTAAAGTGCAAACTTTGGGACTAGGCTGTGTAGCTTTAGTTTTTATTTCTCCAGCCTCCAGTAGCAGACTGGACTTTCCTATTCTCTCCTAATAAAAGAAGCACACAGACTGTAAAGTAAGCATACAAAATAGTGTTTACTTACATAGAGTCTAGCACTCAATTCCAGCAGTAACAAAAACAAGGTAGGCAAATTCTGCTTCTATTTCGTTTAATTTCTTTAATTGAATTTCTTTCATAATACAGTAAAACTACAGAAAATACATATTGAATAGGTAGAATATGGAGTCCTACTTAAAAGTAATTATTAGCCTTTACCACCCACTGAGCACAGAAGCTCCTCCCAGCTTTCACCTGACATCATTCCTTTTTTCTCCCAGCCCTCCCTCTCTAAGAGACTGAACTTTCCTTGTCGCTCACCCAGGGTCCTCCATCAACCATCTTCCATCTGAATATATAATCTCTGGACCTTAATAAAGGCCCCAAACAGAGGACTCCAAAGAAAGAAGAGAAAGAAGAAAAACAAAGAAGAGAAACAGTAAGGGACAATAAAAAGAAAGGAAAGAGATAGGGAAGGAAAGAGAGAGAAAATATAGTGAAAAAGACAAAAGAAAAAGAAACATTAGAAAAAGATACAAAATGAAATGTTCTGATTTGCCACCTGCCGGTTATATTAAAAAAGAAAATATGTTAATTTAAAACACTCAGTCTATGCTAACATCCATCTTCGTTTTCTGTTAAACAATATTTATTCTAAGTCAGGGTGTCTCAGAATCATTCATTTCTTTTCCCCACAAAAAGTCCAAGATGGGTTCCTTAATTGTTATTATTGATAAATGTCAACCATAATTTTTCCTTTACCTTCATTAATTCCCACTACCATAACTCCAAACTGAATGCTAATAAAACCTTCCATCAATCTCCGTCTTAAAGTCTCTCCACTGTGATCACACATTGGGCCAGTATGTTTAATTCCATTTCCTGTTTTTCCGTTTCCTGTTGGGTTTACGATAGTATTCCAATCTCCTCCTCTAGGGCCTTCTATTTTCATTCCCCCCAGTCTTTTTCCAGAGAGAGAGTACCATAACTTTAATAGCATCATTCTCTGAATTCGCACAAGATTGTATGCTGAGTACTTTCTCTCTGCTAGAATGGAAGGAAGGCCAGGACTGAAGTTTCCCAAAGGCCACCACCCCCTGAAGCAGTCTGTTCCACTGTTGAACAGTTCTTACTGTCAGAAAGTTATTCTCAATGTTAAGTCAGAAAGTCTCTTTTCTTGTAACTTGAATCCATTTGTACGGTTCCTACCCTCCAAAGCAGGAGAAAACAAGCCAGAGAACTCAAGGGAAGTGATGTCACAAAGTGTCTTCTCCAGTAATCAGGAACTCTCTGAGTCTTAACCCCGTCATACCCTTATTTAGCAAAAATGGATGGTTGTTTTGACTGCAAACACCCACACCCACCCACCCCTTACCATGCAACAAGCGCTTAGTGTTCCATGGACACTAAGCATGCTCAGTCTTCAATGGGGGCATTTTCCCCTTAGGAATTTTCCCCTCCCTCCAAATATTATGTGTGTGTGTGGTTCTTCAAGCCTTGGAGTTTCCCCAAGCTCCTCTTACAGCCTCCTTCATGTTTCAGTGTTTCCAGAAGCAATAGCCCTCACAGCCTGAACATCGGAAAGAGCGTTACTCACATTTTGGAGATGGGGGGGAATTCTTACTGTTCTAAATGTTTTCCACTGCTGTAATTCACTGTACCTGACACTGTCCAGGTGAGTAAGAATCACCCTGATGACTGCTCTGACACTTAGAAGAGCAGTTATTTTCTCTTTAGCTTGACCTTTTCCAACATCAATGATTGTCGCAGCATGACTCATTATCCTGCTTGGAGGAGCAGTCAAACCAGCTATGACTGAAACTAGTGGCTTGGCATTCAGGCCAGAATTAACTTCCTTTAAGATAGTGGCAGCATCCTTTTTGGCACTGCCACTGGTCTCTCCAATCAATATAATCCCCTCTGTTTGAAGATCACTCAGGAACACATCAAGGCAATCAATAAAATTCATTCCACTGAATGGATCTCCTCCAATTTCAACCCGAATAGCTGGCCACAATCGAAACTTATGGCAGCTGATGAACAGCTTTGGCTGTGCCTGCATTGCAAGGTTCTCCAATTGCCTTTTGTTCAATGTTGTGTTTTCATTGCCTTTTCCCTTTTGTCCCTTCCCAGGTGTGTACAGCTAAGCATTTTTTTTGTATCTATGTTAGCCCAACTGAGTTATTCCAGAGTTACTCAACTGTTCCTCTGAATGGTTTCCTTGGCTGCCACACACCGAGGCTGACTTTTCAATTTGTTTTTGCACACTACTTGTCTTTTTTTCGTTTATATCCCACCTTTCCTCTAAGGAGATCAAGGTGATGTTTGTCACCCTGCCATCTCATTTTATCCACACAACAACCCTGTGAGGTAGGTTAGGCTGAGATAGAGTGACTATCCCAAGGTAACCCAGCAAGGGCCATAGCTAAGTGGGGATTCAGACCTGCATGTTTCTGATCCTGGTCCAACACTAGGGTATGCTAGTATACAACAGTAATTATATTGGTGTTATGACCACCATATTAAAAAACAACAACAGGACTACATTGATATTTTATTTCCAATGTGCATGGCAAAACATGGAACAGGTGATTGGTCACACCTGCATCATACATTTAAAGCACTCCTATACCACTTCAACAGTCATAGCTTCTCCCAAAGACTCCTGGGAGATGTACAGTGGTGCCTCGCAAGACGAAAAGAATCCGTTCCGCGAGTCTCTTCGTCTTGCGGTTTTTTCGTCTTGCGAAGCAAGCCCATTAGCGGCTTAGCGGATTAGCGCTATTAGCGGATTAGCGCTCTTAGCGGGCTTAGCGGATCAGCTGATAAGCGGATTAGTGGCTTAGCGGATCAGCTGATAAGCGGCTTAGCAATCAGCTGTTAAGCAGCTTAGCGGCTTAGCGGATCAGCTGTTAAGCGGCTTAGCGGATCAGCTGATAAGCGGCTTAGCGGCTTGGGAAAAAGGGGGGGAAAGGAAAAAAACCCTGCAGGAACTTGCAAGACATTTTCGTCTTGTGAAGCAAGCCCACAGGAAACTCGTTTTGCGAAGCACCTCCAAAACGGAAAACCCTTTCGTCTAGCGGGTTTTCCGTCTTGCGAGGCATTCATCTTGCGGGGCACCACTGTAGTTTTTTAAAGGTGCTGAGGGTTTGTAGAATCATAGAATTGTAGAGTTGGAAGGGACCCTGAGGATCATCTAGTCGAACCCCCTGCAATTCAGTTATTAAAGAGACCTTTAACAAACTACCATTCCCAGGATTGTTTGGTCGAAGCAATTACTGCTAAAGTAGTACAGGCAACTCCCGTTTTGTGCGCGTTCAATGACCCTTGTTAATGGATGCTTATGGGAGGTGGGAAGGGAATGTTTTGCACTGAGATATCCCACCCTCAGAAACTTGGAAGGATGGAACAGTAACTGGGTGGGTTGGAGTTCCAGGATGTTTGTTCAGGTTGAACACAAGCTCTCTCCCAGAAAGATGAAGACATTTGTAATGAGGTTGCCAGTTTTACAGGAAAAATGCACAAGAACTTTAGCATGAAGTAATCCAGGGACAGGATTTTAGACACAATGCTGATTGCACTCAACAGCTACAGATCATTATCCATAAAGGGGAGGTGTGTGAATGCTGGGAGGGTTCCTGCCTATGTGCGATAGCTGGAGAATGGCCTTCAAGGGCCCTGTTTCCAAGTTCTATGTACACGCCAGCATTGGCTGATAGTGGAAAAGTTTCCATTGTGAGTTTATGCGTAAGAAAAACAAGAGCAAGATAAAAAGGGCATTGACGCTACTTATCCAAGCTTTAAAAACCTGATAAAACGAATTCAATTAAAAAGGAGGCAGGGTGCGCATGCAAGTGGATCTCAGCTTCTTTCTTCACATCTCCTGGCAGGCTGCCAAGCACAAAGAAACTGAGACTTCCTTGTTCCTGAGCAACATTTTGGCCTATAATTCTCCAAAATCTGTAAAAAGGATTGTACAGTGGTACCTCAGATTACGAACTTAATCCATTCCGAAAGTCTGTTCTTAAACTGAAACTGTTCTTAAACTGAAGTGCGCTTTCCCTAATGAGGCCTCATGCTGGTGGTGCCCTTCCACTGTTCGGATTCCGTTCTTAGACTGAGGTAAAGTTCGCAAACCGGGACACTACTTCCAGTTTTGTGGAGTTCATAAACCGGATCGTTCGTAAACAGGACCGTTCTTAATCCGAGGTACCACTGTAGCTGCAGTTTGCTTTTACCTGGAGCTACGTTTTGTTTAAAATATCACCTGCGTTTAGCATGCTGGAACACTACAGTGTGCATTTTCAACTAGGTGGCAAATAGATTTATTCCTGTCTGCCTGCCTATAACCTTCCCATGCTACAAAAGGAATGGCCCCCATAGCCAAGGAAGGCAATATGAAAAGTCCTCTTCCCAGCATTTGGTCTCTGGTCAACTGCCTTGGTCACAAATGTACTGCTGATAGTCCTGCTTGATTTCCAAGATTTCCAAGTGTTTTACTTCCTTTTTTGAGCAGTATTTCCAGTCACCTGGACAATTGCCCTGATTCTAGCTACTTAATTAATTTTCCATTGTGAGGTTTGCTAAATTCTAGGTACTGATCAAGAGCTGGGTTAACTACTCTTACTGTTGACATCCAGATTGGGTTTATCGGTAGTATGCAAGGAGGCAGGTTTAAGAGGCAATGTGATGCTGTGGAAAAAGAACAGGGTTGCAATTCAAAGCACATTAGGGACTCATCCAGATTTCCTTTTGTGTCGTGCTTTCCAGGCACAAATCCATCTCCAAGTATTTTTCTTTTGTCCCGCAACTTTCTGCAGGAAACCCCACTGTTTATCACTGAATCAGAACAAATAACAATTGGGTTTTCTGCTTGTAGGTGACCTTGAGCCAGTCATCTTTTCTCAGCCTAACTTACCTCTGAGAATTGTTGAGGAAAAATAGCATGTGCACCATCCTGTAGTCCTTTGAGGGAAGGTGGAATACGTATGTAAGACATAATAATATACAACAGGTTTGGAATGCGCCCTGTTCTCAAGTTCTACCCCCCCACCCCATTTCCTTCAACTATAAAATTATCTTCCTAGGCTATTCCTGAAAGTTTGCTTTTCTTACCTAAGGAATTAATTAGAATTTTAGTTTTTCTCGATGCATTTTTCACAATCAGTTTATCTAGGCTGTGAATTCCAAACAACACAGAAGGAAAATGCCTTCGTTATCCTAATATGGTCTGCTTCAAGCTTTGTTATTCTCTTACAATTGATGGAGAACTGCTTTAGATGGATCTGATTCTAAACTAGATTGTTATTATTTTCATAACTGATCTTTCTTCCTACTTATTCATTTACAAAGGGGAGCTGAGCAATCATAATTCCTCCAGCTTCCTTTGGGATCCGGTGCATATTTTTGTGCTGACTTTGTTATTCACAAAATGTCATTGTTTTTTTAAGGCAACCACTGCGATATCAATCAAGGCAAACACAATTGAACTGCCTATAACGAATTAGGCGCAGACAATTGAGTAATTGGAGTGATTAAAATGGCTGTCGACTTGATAGTTATCCTTCATGACTTGCTGATATTTTTAGTTAGTGTTTGATTACAGGCTCCTTCACGGCTCCCTAGAAAAGCATTCTATGTGTTATCTTAATGGGAGTTCCTAGCTATCTATATATTTAAAGGTATTGATAATCAATGCTTGCTTAATTGAGGCTTCAGAAAAAAAATGCTTCTATAAATAAGCACTGGCTAAAACAATGCTAAATCAGTCTTTGAAGTCTAGCTGAAGTCAGTAGTAAAGGGCACTACTGTCCTGCCCACTTCGTGAAGTGGAAAGGGGAAGGGCAAAAGCACCTCTGGATTCAGGAATTCTCTAGCATAGCCCTCCCTTCCAGCCTGCTGCTATCCAGATGTTTGATGGGAGCCGTAGTCCAACAATATCTAGAGGGCATTAGGTTGGAGAAGGTTGCTCTGGCATCTGTGTCACTAGCTGTGGTTCTTTGTGCAACAGTTGCTTTTCCGCCTGTGTTGAACTGTGTTATCTGTGGGAACTGCCCAATGACATGTAGTTTGTAAACAGAAAGTTGGGAAAGAGCCACAGCCAATGAGCATTGGAATCTCGCCCCCCCCCCGAATGTGAGGTGACCCAATTATTTGAGAGTGAACAGCAATTGGATTACAAGCTTTTAAGCCGTGCATACCTGCCATAGATTCTGATATTGGCATTATTGTCCTCTGTTCCATTGCTGATGTTTTTATTGTTTTGCATTTATATATTTATTTGCCATTTTATGCATTTTAGGGAATTGTAAACATAGTGTGGAAGGAGGATGCAAGCAAATTGATTATAAATATATTATGAACACTTTGTAAGGAACACAATGTGCTTGGAGTGAAGAAATGAGTTTCAGTCTTTTGCTATCAGACGGCCTAATGTAAATATGCCTGCATATTTGTCGGCTGGATAGATTGCCAGGGATCACCATTGTACGTATTTAAGACACACATGTAGTTTGGCCACCTGGGAGTTTCAGCACCCAACAAGCAGGGCAGAAGTGCCTTCTGAGCAAAATTGTCTCAAGAATAGAGAGAAGGCAAATGAGGTATGCGAGAATAGGAGTGGCAATGAAATCTTGTATAACCGTGGTAAAAAGTTCTGAATCTGAACTGTTATCACATCGCTCTGGAAAATATTCAAGCTGAAAAGAATAAATACACTAATTTTAGAGAGGTATTTATTAATTCAGAGCAAATCTTGCAAAATGTTCTGAAATGTTTTTACTCATTTCCCCATTGTCTGAATACATTGAAGTATAAAACAAAAACAAGAGGGGCAGAGTTTTTATTCCAAGTCAGGATGTTCGGTAAACATCTAATACAGGAATGTGCTCTTGCTTAATCCTTTAAGCCTGTCATTAAAATGTTATTTTGAGGCAACCATTCATCATTGATCAGTGTTTCTACATCCATTATTTGTACTACATCTAAGCCGGCTCATCAGCCAGCCCCAGTTGGGTATGCTTTCGTGTTTTGCATCAAAAGGTCTGTGTAACTGGATATGAAACATTCAAATGCCTTTAACATATATAGTGATGAAAAATAAGGTGTCCCCCCGCAATATTATAAAATGGCATTGTCTCCCGAGGCAGATGCATACTAACAATTTCATTTTTTAAAAAAATGTACTTAACTGATTTTGACTTGCAATGGACCAATTTGCTTTCCTTAAGGGCATCAATCCGGGGAAAGAAGTG